TTATTCAAGCATGGTAAATATATCAAAATGTCATCTAATCGTCACTGTAGTTTTTGTGGACAAAGACATACAAACAATACATCAGAAATTTCTCAAAACCCATCAAAATAATGCTAAAGTAACAAAAAACACATTCTAAAATCGAAGAAATTTTACAAAATTTCAAAATTTTCTCCATGATTGGATATTTGAATGTTTTTAATCATCTTTTCTTATCTGTGAAATCTCAAAAAATAGGAAAATCAGAAAAATTGCTTCGAAAATCAAAAAATTTATGTCGGCAAAAGACTAGACCCCCTCCCCCAAATTCTCAAATAATTGTTGTAAATTAAACTAATAATAAGAAAATTTAAAAAAATTTATATTTTTACCTTGATTTATGAAGCAACAATGACAAAGATCAGATCTGAATATTGTCGGCAAAGATCAGACCCTCCCTCCCCCAATTTTCTTCGAATACATGGACAAAGAAGGTCACGGTAGTTTCTAGCGGGAGGAGAGCAAGGAGGTAAGTATAGCTCGCTGAAGAAATCAACGAGGAAAACAAAAAGCTGATGTGACTACAATTTTTGTCGATTTCACGAGGTAGAGAAAAAAATTGGGGGAGAGAAAAAAACTGATGTGGCGGTGATTTTTCCCTTGTTTCCCTTCTTCAACCCTAGCGAACCAAAGAGGTGGGAAAAAACCAACGGAAAACTTATGTCCAACGTGGCCATGAAAAATCCTATGTGGAGGTAGTGTAAAACTTTTCTACCATCACGGGGAAAGTACTTTATATATCCAAATACCATGAGTACGAATATGCGACCAAGGGGGGGTTAGTCACCTAGAACTTTTTAAGTAGAACTGGGATAATTAGTAAAATGTGATAATTTTTTGACACTGGGATAATTTAGTGGAACAATGATGGGTAATTCTTAAAAGTGTGATAATTTGGTAGGATAATTTGGTGGGATAATGATAGATAATATTATAAAGTTGCATAATTTGGTAGGATAATTTGGTGGGGGTAATGGTGGGTATAAAATACTATTGTTAATAATTGTATATTAAAAATAATATAATATTGATAAGCAAATTCTAGTAATAACTATAAAATATAATGCAATAAAGCATCACTATTCATCTCAAATAATAAAATAATTTACAAAATAAATAAAAATCTAAATCCCTGGAGTGACTCGACTTCCATCATCCCACATGGCTTCTATCATCCCACATTGCATCTGCCATAAAAATTCTCCAAGCTCCTACAGCTGCTCGTTGAGTCTATAACTCGTCTTCTTTATCGGAGTCATTGTCTGCATCAGCAACATTTCGTGGAGCTTCTAGTGGAGGATCATAAATATTGAAGTTCAAATCTCATAACATCATAAAGAAAGAAAAATAAGCATTTTTCAGCCATTAACCCTTTGGACCAATCTCATCATGATCGCTGAAACCAAATCAGCAAATAAATAAAATGTACACAGGAATCATCCATGGCCGCTAAACAGATGATCGACAGATGAACTATAAATATCCTAATCAATTTACTGAGCCGATTTAATAATAATAGATATCACCATTAACCATTCAACATTTAATTATCAATGTGATCACAAAGTTGCTTTCGAACTTATAAAAAAAACATAAATAGCCCGCATATCTTTAACACTAATCCACCAACACTATATTCTTAACCAAAACCACTGTTGTGGTGAGAAAACTTAGATCAAACAAATAATAATAAAGTAATTTAATGTAAAAAAACTATCAATAAAGTAATACACCTTGAAGATAATAATAAAAGATTTATTAATCCAAAAACAAAGTAAAGACAGAAAAATAAACGGATGATTGACTTCATGGCAGAGAAATTTTCTAGGCGGAGAAACTAACCACCCCCAAGAGGGAGGGAGGTGGTGTTTCACTTTTTTTTCCCAATTGTATTCTTTCCAATATGTGGGATAATTTGAGAGAGGAGAACTTATGGTTATATATATAGATAGTATAATTTGTGGGATAATTATGATCAATTATCCCAATTCTAATTCTAGTAGAATTCTACTTGACTAACGCACCAAAAAAATAATACAATTCTAGTTCTACAAAAGTTCTACTTGACTAACACTATAAAAAATATCCTATTTTCTAGTTCTATGTGACTAACACCTTAAAAATTTATCCCACAAATTATTCCAGTTCTAGTTTTAAGTTCTAGATGACTAACCCCCCGCGACCAAGAGAACATGTGTTGCTTTATCTTTACTCCTCATTATATCCTAAATCCCAGGTCGAGAATTAACAGAACGACTACTTTACTTTCCTCATAATTTTCCCCATAAATAGCTTGTAAAAAAACAATTTCCCTTCGTGGAGGGTAAAATATTGTTTTTTATCAAGTTGCAAGTAGAAAAATTTAGCGGGATGTTAATGGTCGTAATACGAGGAAATTCACTGCCTCAATAAGGTGTTTACAAGATACTAGTCTCTCACAATTGACTAGCAAGGAAATTCACTGCTTATGCATATATATGTTAATGGTCTTAATATGAGAAAGAAATTAATAATTTACCCATTACGTAGGAAAAAGTAACTAAATTTGAGATCATAGTTTCTATTAAAAGTTACATATTGTTGACTCCCTAAGGTGGATCTCACGCTTAAAAAAAAGGAAAAAAGTCTATACAAATCATAGATATAATTTAGTGGAAGCAAATGACATAAGTCCAAATAATACATGAAGTATTTGATCATCTACTTTATAATTGATCACATCATAAGTGTTGCCCTTTACCGCTGTGTGTGATTTTATTTACTCTTTAGGGGCTGTTTGTTTGGTTTCCTAAAAACCAAGAAAAGGAAATCTTTGTATTTTTTTATTAAAATATCATTTTTATTCATTTCCATCCCTAAAACTCACCAAAAGAAAAGAAAATTTATACACTTTTATCAATGAAATATTATTTTTATCCACCAACTCATCACATCTTATCTCCTTTCTTACTTTTAAAAATAAACCAAACACAAGAAATGTGTCACATCATCCAACTCATCCAATTTCATCTTTAAAAATCACCCACATCATCCAATAATATGATGACAACTCATCTCATCTCATTAACATTTCATTTCCACCAATTTCCTAAAAAAAACCAAGGAAATTGATTTCCTTAATGGTGTGTTTAGGAGTTTACTTAGAGCCTGTTTGGATTTGTAGGGGGTGAAGAGAAGTTAAGGGAAACTAGGTGAGAGAATGGAAGGGAAGGGAAGGGAGTTCCCTTCCCCTTGGTTACACCGTAATTTGGGGGGTAACAAATTTTATACTATTAGGGGGTGAACCAAGGGGAACTAGGGGCTTGTTTGGATTGAGGGGAATGAGTGTGAAGGGAAGTTAGGGGAACCATTCACCTTGTTTGGGAACACTTAGGAGGTGAAGTTAATTCACCTCTATTCACCTTGGTTCACCCCCTAATAGTATAAAAATTGTTATCCCCAAAATTGGGGTGTAACCAAGGGGAAGAGAATTCCCTTCCCTTCCCTTCCCTTCACTCAGTTTCCCTTCCCTTCCCTTCACCCCCTACGAATCCAAACAGGCCCTAGGGTGAATAACTTCACCTCTTAAATGTTCCCAAGCAAGGTGAATGGAGGTGAATAGTTCCCTTAACTTCCTTTCACCCTTATTCCCCTCAATCCAAACAAGCCCTTAGGGAAGGGAATGAAGGGGAAAAATTCCCCTTCCTTTCCTTCCCCTCCATTACGCTCCAATTTAGGGTGTAAGAATTTGGGCCAAATTTCCCCTCCATTCCCCTCCTCTACCCTCCACAATGAAACTCCCAAACAAGGTTAAAATAAAATTTTCCTTCCCTTCCCCCTCTCTACCCTCTATTCAAACATGCCATAAGTGTGAATCACATCATCCAATAATATAATGACAGCTCATATCATCTACCCTCTATTCAAACATGCCATAAGTGTGAATCACATCATCCAATAATATAATGACAGCTCATATCATCTCATCTATTTTCTTATTTTTAAGAATTGTGAATCACATCATCCAATAATATAATGACAGCTCATATCATCTCATCTATTTTCTTATTTTTAAGAATGAACCAAACAGAAGAAAAGAACCTATTATAGGAAATATGTTTCTCATAATACAAGTTTTCTTAAAAAATTAATTATATCATCCAATAATATGGTGACAACTCATCTCGTATTATCTCCTATTCTTTGATTTTTTTTTTTTTAACAAACCAAACAACCATAATACAAGTTTTACAATTCTTTGATTTCCCACTTTTTTTAGGCAAACAAAAAGCCCCTTAATAACCAAAGGATGATAATAATATCATACCTGCCCGATACGTGCCAGATATGGTAACCAACTCACCCATCTCGAATCCCGTCACCTTCCCTTAGTCTCCATCACCGTTTCCGCATTTGATGAGACACGAGCCTTTCCGCATTGCATAGGAACGGTAAAAAGCGGTAAGCTCACCGCCCCAACCCCTCCATCTTCCCGTTCGGAGTTTCCTCGCATACCTCGTACGTATACCCGGAGCTCAGAACGAGGGGTACGATCGTACTTACGTGGAAAAGTCGAGGGCATTGTTGTCATTCGCCTTCACGCCCCAAATTTCCCGCCAGTGCACGAAGAGGAGTGGGGGTCGTCGTGGAAGCATCCGACCCTACGCTGCCGGGCCCACGCGCCTCTAGACCGTTACGACTCTCGCTCACCTCAGCGAGTGGGACCGAGTGCGGGTCCCTCGTGGCTGACCGGTGCCCCGAGGGTCGAAGTTCTCGTAACAGTTTTGGTCTTTCTCGTGGCCGCCTCGGTCTCCTGGGCGTCCTCTATTTTTAAACGGCCATGCTGCTCTATCTGCTCCCCCTGTCTTTTCATAATTTTTTGTAAAAGAAAAAGAAAAAGGAAAAAAAATCCTCTCTCATCTTTCTCCATTCTAGTTCACAAAAATCTTTGAAGGTCCTAATGGCTTCTCGAGGGGGCCACGATGGAGGCCGCGTGGACGAGGGCGGAAAGGTGGCCGCCGATGGAGGCGGTGACATGTCAGCCGGGCGGCGGACGCGGAGGTCGAGGCGGCGGGGAGGCCGTGGGAGACGGTCCCGGAGACGAGCGCCCTGGTCCGCCTTCGAGCTTCGATCTCTCAGCATCAAATGGCTTCCAGCATCGCACGCCGTCGGGATCTTCGAGTCTGGCGGTGACTTGATCGCTTCGAACCTAACGGACTCACACCAACGAGACGATCGAGGCGTTGGGGATCGAGATCAGGCGCGCACCGCGAGAACGGAGGAGTTGGCGTGGCGGAGACCGCGTCCCGCGTGCGCTGGCGCCGTCGTCGGCGAAGGCGATGCGGCACCGCCCGCGTCCTGGGTTTGGGACGGTGGGGAGTGAGGTGCATCGTGCGAGCAAATCACTTTCTCGTCGAGGTCGCGAACCGCGATCTTCATCACTATGATGTGAGCTTTTCTTCAAACCCTTCACTTTCTTCTTCTTCAAGTTGATAGCACAGAGTACCACTTTTTGCTCTGTTTTAGCTCTGTTTTTGTTGATTTTTGGCTGCTAGGTTGTACATCCGTTTTCGGATGGCTATTTTTTTTGCTCAGTTCTCGTGTAGATCTTGTAGGGTTTTCTGGGTTTTGTTCTGGATCTGATTTAATGTGTGTTGGTGTCCTTAGTCTCGTCGTTTTTATTTTCTTTTAACCACTAATTCATTTGTGTGGATTTTATTGGGTTTTGTGGTTAAGTTGCAGTTCTGGGTTTAAGTTCTAGATCTAGTTTAATCTGGTGCTCCTGTTGTTAATCTTTATCTTTTTTGTTCTTATAAGTGTTAAGTCGTTGTGGGTTATGTGGTATTTTGTTTTGGCATCTCTCATTAATTGATGTATGATTCATACTTAGATTTGTTTAAAGATAAATGAACATTACATGATTTGTTCTATTTTTATGTAGATTATTTTTGGGTTCTGCGTGTAATATACTTAATGTTGTTAACCATATCTTTTTTTTTATATTTCTCAGCGTTGCAAATTTGCTGTGGATTGTTTGATATTTTCTTGTGAAATCTGATGGTTATGTTTTTTGCTTAGATTTGTTCCTTATTATGTTAAATTTAGGGACTCTTTTTGGTGAAGTTGTAGATCCAGTTATCATGCACATACTCTTGTCATTGAATTCATTCAATTTGTATCTTGTTGGAAATTTGATTTCTACTTTTAAAGGGACGACAATTGGATTTTAAACCAATATAACATGAAAAGCCTATAAGTGGAACTAATGTTTATTAAAGTTAAGATCAAATGTTTCTATTCAGTAGTATGTGATACATGTTATTATTCTGTGCCGATTGTATATAATTATGATTTATAGGAAATGAACCATGTTGGAGTCTAGTTGGTTCTGCAAGCTTAAGTTGTATAACAGGACATGTAAGTAAGGTAGAAAGTCTAAAGTAGATTCTGAGTTTTCTAAGATTGCTCTAGGAACTTGAAGTTTGTTGTGCTTCTTAACACATTTTCCCCTTACTTCCTTTGCACCTTTAAAAGAAACCAGTTTCTTTACAGATGTAAATGTTTAACAAGTTTATTTCGATTACTGTGATGGTTCATATGAAGAAATTGACCTAAAATGCTTCTGTTGTTAGTAAATAGTTTCAGAAGTTTGGAGATGCTGGTGTTGTATATGAGAGCATGCACAACCTTTTTAAAGCTTCATTCACATGGTTAAAAAGAAATAAAAAAGTTGGGCTTTCCTGACACAGCTTAAATGGTTCGCCAGTTTATTTTCATAATTGTGATAGTTCTTATGACAGAATGGAGCTATAATATATCTTGTTTTGCTAATTAGTTTCAGATTTTTTTATGTGTTAAAGGTGTTTGAAAGTAGAGAGCATGTATTCCATTTTTAAACTTCAGTCACGTATTTGTTTCTTAGTGTCATTTGTAGTTCTGTGCTCTCAGTTCTTTTGTTGGGACACTGCATTATAAATGGCAGTTAAGGTGTATAATTAGCTCATTTTATTGCTATATATCTTATTTCTTTGGTTGGAGCAGGTTGCCATAACACCAGAAGTGACTTCAAGGGCTGTTTGTAGGAAGATTATTAGTGAGCTTGTAAACATGTACAAGGACTCCCATCTAGGACGCCTAACACCAGCCTATGATGGCAGGAAATCTCTTTACACTGCTGGAGCTTTGCCCTTCACATCTCAGCAGTTTAAGATTAAATTAGCTGAAAAGGACCGGTGAGCGAACACCTATGTCGTGTTGCTTAGTGCTGTAAGCAGTAGCACTGCAGTTTTTCTTGTTATGCTTATGCTTGCCTTTGATGCTCAGTGGCGACAAGGAATTTGGTGTTACCATCAAGTATGCCGGACGTGCTGATCTCCATCATCTTCAGCAGTTCCTTCATGGGAGGCAGTTTGATGCCCCACAAGAAACAATACAAGTGCTGGACGTTGTTCTTAGGGAGTACCCCTCACAAAAGTAATGATGTTGTAACCATAAATCATAGCTCTGGTTGATAGTTTGCTATGCTTATGTTTAACCACCGTTTATCTTGTTCTTTTCCTCAGTTATGTCACAGTAGCGAGATCTTTTTTCTCGAAGGAGTTAGGGGCAACAAAAGATATTGGTGATGGATTGGAATGTTGGAGAGGATACTATCAGTCCCTTCGTCCTACGCAGATGGGGCTCTCCTTGAACATAGGTAACACGTGGGAGTTTATCTCAAATTGGTCCTACTTCCCTCCTTTTCTGACTGCAATTAATGTAGTTTGTGACATGTTTTAATCTGCAGATATCGCTGCCACTTCTTTTTACAAGTCTATTTCAGTTATAGCCTTTGCTAAGGAGTACCTAAACATGCGAGATGCACCGCGTACCTTGACAGAGAAACAGCGTATTGCTGTATGTTTTGCATCTGTTACTCACCTTGATGATTAACACCTTTTATTTTCATTGTCATTGAAATTTAATTCTTCTCTCTCTTAATATCTCTGGGGTTAAACTTGTTTAGCGTAGGATTTATATATTTTTAATGCATATTTATTAATGTCAAATCCACAGTTGAAAAAAGCCCTTAGGGGAGTTCGAGTTGAAGTCACTCATAGGAAAGATTGCCGCAGACGCTACAAGATTAATGGTCTAACAAATGAGCCCTTAGGCCAATTGATGTAACACTTCCTGTCTTCTCTCTAGATATATATTTATCTTAAGTTGTATACTTTGTGTCGTCATGTTTACTACATAATGTTTATGACTTGTCTACTCAAGTTGTTACTTGTTTGCTCTTGTATGTTTTTTGATAGTCTGCTCATCGATATTGTTAGGTTTCCTGTGGATGACAAGGGAAACAAAATGCGAGTGGTGCAGTATTTTCAGGAGAAGTATCGCTGCAAACTTGACTATCTTACATGGCCTTGCATACAGTGTGGCAGTGACAGTAGGCCAACGCACCTGCCGATGGAGGTTTGTTTTAACTGTTATCTAGCAATACCACGTTATTTACTCTTACTGATGGCTGTCAATGCTATGTTGTGTTGAATTCTGGTTAAAATTTCTGCTTATCTATTTATTGTTCTAGGTTTGTAAAATTGTGGAAGGTCAAAGATTTTCAAAGAAATTGAATGAGAAGCAGGTTACTGAAATACTAAGAGCAACTTGTCAACGCCCAGACAAAAGAGAGAAGAGTATATGGGAGGTCAGATACTTTTGATTGTAGTGGGATGCTGGGATGTTTTTTTTGTTCTTTGTTCTTCATCAAATTATTGAAATTTATCTTATTTATGCATAGTTTAGTTAGTTTTGTACACTTTGATGATTGTGATGGGCCTGATTGCTACTGCAGATGGTCATGGAGAACAAGTATGAAGATGATAAATATGCACAGGAGTTTGGCATCAAGGTGGCCAAGCAGCTGACCTCTGTTGAAGCGAGAGTCCTTCCACCACCAATGGTAGTTATTTGATCTGCAATTGCTTTGTTGGATAGCAAGATGAAAATATTAAATTGTCACTTTTTCTTTTTTATTGCATGTTCAGCTCAAGTACCATGATTCTGGAAAAGAGAAGACATGCAATCCAAGAGTGGGTGCGTGGAATATGATAAATAAGGTAAAATTCTCCTCATTATTTAGAACCAGTGAAATTTGTTCTTTTGTTTTGGGGATGGTTAATAATTGTGGAAGACTTCTTTGCTTTTTTTAAGTACCAGGTGAAAGTCATTTTTTGGTTACTAGATGGTTAATATTGTATATTAAAGTCCATTCTCCTATCATGAAAATATTAATTTCTAGCATTTAAATTCTTTTATTTTTGTTGTCTTTTCTATGTACAATGCAGTAGTAACTTTATTTTTCCCTGAGCAATATCTTTGTTCAATGAATTCTTTGTTGAGGAATGACTTTATCGTTATTTTTTTCTTCAGAAAATGGTTAATGGTGGAAAAATTGATAGCTGGGCATGCGTTAGTTTTTCCCGCAATCTCCATCCTGACGCAGTAAACTGGTTTTGCCAAAGTCTGTTTGGTGTTTGTAATAACATTGGAATGGTACAGCACGACTCTTTTTTTCTTTATTGACTCAATTACTATTCATGTTTGTGTCTTGCTCATTTTGCTATGTATTTCTAGTCTATTGCACGTGACCCAGTAATCAAAGTCCTCTATGAACGTGCTAATAACGTGGAGGGAGCTCTAAGAACTGTGCATGCTCAAGCTACTACTGCTTTGAGAGGAGGAACCCTACAGTTGCTACTTATCATTCTTCCAGAAATAAGCGGGTCTTATGGTATGTATGACTAATTCTTTTCTACGTTAAGGTTAATTATTTGTGGCAACTCTATTCATTGGCTCTATGTTTTTCATAGGTACAATCAAGCGTGTTTGTGAAACTGAACTCGGGCTCATATCACAATGTTGCTTACCTAAGCATGTTCAGGCGTGCAAGCCACAATATATGGAAAATGTGGCTTTGAAAATTAATGTGAAGGTCTGTGTTTCTGTGTTCTTAAGCTTCCAGTTTGATCATGGATGGCCTTTTAATTTGCCTGCATGATTCTTGAACAGGCCGGAGGCCGTAATACTGTTCTGTCAGATGCTCTTAATAGGAGGATGCCTTTTGTATCCGATAAACCAACCATCATTTTTGGGGCTGATGTCACACATCCCCAGCCAGGAGAAGACTCCTCTGCTTCCATTGCTGCAGTTAGTCTCTTTCTTGTCAATCATGTTATATTATACTTAATTCTTTGAATTGTGTTTTTCTAAACAAATATGTATTCATATTTTGTGTTATCAAGGTGTTTACGTTTATCTTTTGCATACGTACTCTTGATTTCTCAAATGTTAAGACCAATTTCAGGTTTTATAATGATCTTTAGGTGGTGGATTTTTCATAGAAGTCTGGTTCCTTCGTAACATCATTGCTATTGTTCTTTTGGATGTTGTGAATTGGTGAGAGTTAGATCACATATTCACATGTATGTCCTTTTAACGTGCGCATTTTTTTCATGATATGTTAGGTTGTTGCATCAATGGATTGGCCTGAAGTGACAAAGTACAAAGGCCTTATTTCATCCCAACCACATAGGCAAGAGATAATAAAAGATCTTTATACAACCACACAAGATTCCCAGAAGGGTATTATTTCAGGTGGCATGATTAGGTAAAATATTCTTCTTTTCTTTTCTTTTCTTTTTTTTGTTTTTTTTTGTTTTTGTTTTTGTTAGGGTGCATCATTAGATTGCTTGATATTGGAATGTTGTTGAAAGTGCATGTTTAGATCTTCAAGCTTTACGTTTTCCTTCCTCTGCTTCCTGCAGAGAGCTGCTTATTTCTTTCAGAAGAGCTACAAATCAGAAACCCCACAGAATTATATTTTACAGGTTTGATTCATGTCATAAATAAATTCTTTAAGCATGTCATGTCTATTGCACCGGGAACCCCTAAAATTATCCTATTTACATGTGCAGGGACGGTGTCAGTGAAGGACAGTTTAGCCAAGTTCTTCTGTATGAAATGGATGCAATAAGAAAGGTAAATGTTTACATTTATTTTACTGTTTGTGTATATTTCACCTGAAACTAAGATGCATGGTGAATGGCTGACAATTTCCACTAAGTTTTTCCAATAACAGATTATATTTACATCTGTTTGTCCATGTAATAACCAGGCTTGTCAATCTCTGGAAGAAGGCTATCTGCCGCCTGTTACCTTTGTGGTTGTGCAAAAAAGGCACCATACCCGTTTGTTCCCTGAGATCCACGGAAGCGACCAAACTGACCGGAGTGGCAATATACTACCAGGTAAGTAACAGGCAATCATGCCCATCTCCGTGGACGCATTTGTAGACATGTGTAATATAATCCCATAATCATGCTACAGAGAGGTAATAATAATAAATATGTTGCTTATGCTGGTAGGTATCCAGAGTTGATTGGTTTTCGGTTCGATAATAATAAATATGTTGCTTATGCTAGTGCAATAAGCCAAATAGGCTTGCCTAGTGTACTCAATTATTTACTTCTGATACTAATTTTAGCTGTTGACACATAACGAGATCTGTGAAAGATTTGGCTCTATTATTGCTCTTCTTTGAGTATCATCACATGGAACCATGTCCGATTGGCTAAAACTGGAAAAGGAAACTCCATGGAAACCATGTCCCGTTGGTTAAAACTGGAAAAGAAAAATCCATCTAAATAGAGAGATAACTGAATGATGCCCCTCCCATCCAAAATATTTTAAAAGCATGAAAACTTAAGGCGTTCTTGTTGTGCATAGGAACTGTTGTGGACAGGAAAATCTGTCATCCCACGGAGTTCGACTTTTTCCTCTGCAGCCATTCTGGCATACAGGTAAAAACTACTATTCGCTGTTTTCTCACTCGGATTCTGCTGGTCAAGTTATTGTTCTTGAAGCTGGTGCTGATCCTTTCGCAGGGTACTAGCAGACCTGCGCATTATCATGTGCTCCTGGATGAGAACAAGTTCTCTGCCGACGCGCTTCAAGTGCTAACCAATAGTTTGTGCTACACGTAAGTCTCATCTTCCCTGTGCTCTTAATTTAGTTTGTAATTCTTATTCTTTATTACCTAAATAGTTTCTCTGGTTTTGATTGACTACAGTTACGCCCGATGCACCCGTTCAGTATCAGTCGGTAATTTATCTCTCTCCTGTTTCCGCTTCCGAGTGCTTCTCTCTTTCCTCTGTACTGTTTCATATTTTTTCCCCCCTTCCCATTTGCAGTTCCGCCAGCTTACTATGCGCACCTCGCTGCCTTTCGAGCGAGGTACTACGTGGAGGGGGATTCTGACGTAGGGTCGTCATCGGTGGGAGGTACACGTGTCAAAAGCGGTGACATCCGTCCTATTCCACGCGTCAAGGATAACGTCAAGGAAGTCATGTTCTATTGTTGAAAGAGGGGTTCCGAGTGCGCGTGCTTCTTTTTTTTGTTTTGTTTGTTTCTGTGAAGTTTGTTGACAGTTGATTTTGTCGGTTTTGTGATGCGCCTTCGGGGTTTTTGGCAGGCTTAGCTACCTACCTGACTTGTTTACTTGTTTATTATTAACCCATCGCGTTCCCGAGTATACTCCGGCCGATTGTGGGTTTATTTTTTGTTTTTTGTCGATACTGTGAAGTGTTGACGAGCACAGCGTTCCCAAGTTTGTTGGTTTCTTTTTTTTTTACAAGGTTGATTTAAAAAAAATTGTCCACACTGTTGACTATACACAGCTTTCAAAGCGCGAAAATAGGAATCCGTAGCGTAAAACAGAAAAAGGAGGAAAAAAAACTTTCCGTTTTCTTGAGCAAGAGCATATCCTGTGGTATCAAACTTATAAAAATGGGGAAAAAAAGAAGAGGTATTTAGCTATATACTGCTTTCAAAGCGCAGAAAAAGGAAATTGGAAGTGAGAGAGAGAAGACAAAACAAACTCACTGTTGCTGCCAGATGCCCAAAAGCAACGCGCTGCTTCTTTTTTTATGTTTTTGTTTTTTTAACAAGTCATCATTAAGGTCCCTGCCGTCTGATTGTTGTCTCCGACAACAACTGATCGCATCAAAATCGGCTACTGCGCCAGGTTCTGTATCGTCTTCATCATATAAAAGCTAGCAACCAACCATTTTGCTCCTTAAAAAGATACCTTTCAGACCCCCTCATTCTTTGACTGTTCAACAAAGCATCCGGTCTTGATATTCGAGCGGTGACGACACCCTTTCCTGTTTCTCATAAAGCAAAAAAAAAAAAAAAAAAATTCATATATTACAATCTTACTTCATTAATTAGGTAAGTAAATAATAATTAGTAGTTAAATCGGATTCCTCCCGGAAAGCGCGAGCGTAACAATTACGTGAAATGGGTTATTTAGATATTAGTCCCTTAAATCTTCATTAGTTTTATATTAGTTCGTCAAATCTTAGGAGCATGTTCCATAATCTTTTCCTAAACAAAGAGTTGGTGATCCGACTTTTCCTGAGTACTCTTTGGGGCTGTTTGTTTCACCATTTTTGTTGGAAAAGAATAGGATTTGGATTTAACAATGGTAAAATTGTAAATAAAGGATTCTTTATGAATCCTATTTTTGAGTTTGGTTCCCCCAAAAATTATAGATTTCAGAATCTATAGAGTTGAAAAATTATGCTGATTTTATAGAAACTCAAATGCTAATGATTTGGACGGATTTGAGCCAGAAAGCTGACGTATTTGTACTATTCTCTCTCTCTCTCTCTCTTTTCGGATTCCGTTTCTTCACAAACCTATATTATTATTAGACCAAATCCTATTCTCATTCCAAACCAAACTAAAGAATAGGAATTGAAAAGTTTCTATAAAGTTGGATTCTATTTTTTCATGTTATGAAACAAACATAGAAATTAAAAAAAAGGATTCCATGACAACATAAAATTGTCTTAAAATTTTTTATGGAATAGCTAGGAATCCATAAAAAATATGAGATTCCTAATCATATTTTTGCCCACTATTGAACCAAACACCCTCTTCGTGTATGCCGTAGAGGTTGAATCTCTCATCCAAGGGGAGATGACTGGGCTTAGATGCTTCCGTAGCATCAATCGTCGTTAACCTAAATCCAAGGGGAGATGACTGGGCTTAGACTTTTTTTTACTCTGGTTAAGAGCTAAACCTGCGTGGTCAATTACAAAGCTATCCTTGTGTGATTTTTACCCCCTTCAAAATGCCCGAAATCCCATCCGTTCGGTAAAAAAATCATATGGGTTCTTTTAATTGGTTTACGAGCAAAGTTAGAAGCTCAAAAAAAAAAAAAAAAAGAGAGATTGAAAATGAGTTTGGGTTTCAACTTGGGTTGAACCTAAACATGTTGAATAAGTTTGGTTTCAACTTATTAAATTAGAGGGTATAACTTGAAATCCACATCTAAAATTTAGATTTGAGGTAATCCGCTCACATCTTATTGCTGTTAACTAGAGTAATCTATTTAAAAAGAACCGGGATGTAATGGCAATTTCAACAGTTTCACTGACTTTCCTTTTCAAAAAGTTAGTTTGACCGACTAATCTCAAAAGCTTGGAGATATAAGTGACCAATATAAAAAATTCCATAAAAAAAGTTTGTATTAGTTTATACAGGGGCTTTTTTGTGTGTGTTATAGATTGAGAGAGAGGGACGCGATTGAAATTGTTTTATAGAGCACTTTAATGAATTTTTTATTTCCTTTTAAAGCACAAAAAATAAAATGTCGGGTCTATCCATCACCTCAAATATTTTTAACGATTTCAATGATAAATTTTTGTTTACCCAGGGAGTCTATTTGCAGCAAATAGATGAGATCTCTTTGCAACTGGATGATGCTCGGGGTTTGCTTGCAATTAAAAACTAGGGAATATTCCTTTAATTAATGCGCCCAAATCCTACCTCTATCGAGCTACTAGTTCAATTTATTAGTCAAAAATCCTATTGATATCAGTTAATGGGCCCTCCTAGTCAAAAATCCTGTTGATATCAGTTAATGGGCACTCCGAAGCGTAGGAATACTTTGCGTGTGAGGAAGCGTGCATGCTAGAGATTCCGATTCATAACCTTCAAAATCACCCCCCCCCCCCCCCACACACACACACAGCCAAGGATGTCGTCCCCATCTACCCACCCAAAAAACCAAAAACCCGAACCCTAGAATTTCTCAAAAGAGGAGCCTTTTTTTGTGTAAATTGATCTCTTTTTTCCCTTCGTTCTTTATGAATATGAGCAATGGCCGTGCGTGCGAGCAGTCAGAGGAAGATGGGTGAAGAGATCGCAAAGAAAGGCTCTGAAAGCTGCGAACGAGCTCAATTCAGGCGTGGGCGATTCGAACCCTTCGTTTGGTGAAAGCGATAGAAAGTTACTATGTTTACAGTAAACACCTACCCGCTATAGTAATCACTAAGTGCAGATCCACTAAATGTTACTATAGCAATAGTGCGTACCTATCACAAACTCACATATATATATGACTCTCCCTAACGTTAAGTTTAGATCATCTTAGTGTCTCCAAGTAAGATTTTGAGAGAGAGAGAGAGAGAGAGAGAGAGAGAGAGAGAGAGATATTCTCCTTAAAAAGATATTGTAACTCCTAAAATTTTATCATAGTGGATTCTTCTATCCTTACCCGTAGTTTTTACTCCAAATTCATTTAGGGGATTTTTTACGTAAATCTGTGACTTTATTTTACCACTTCTACTCTACTATTCGCTAGGATCTTGCTCTATTGGGCCCTGGTTTGTCCCAACAAGTGATTTTAGAGCCTGGCTTAGGGTGCGTGTAACTTCTTATCATATGCTATGTGGCTTCCACCAAAGATGGATCATTCAAATCAGAAAATAAGTTAGATTATCATTTACCCTTTGAAGATGACGTGTATTATTTAAGAGTACGATACTGTTTATAAATACGATATTATTCATAATATAGTACTATTCACAAATACGACCACTGTTCATAAATATAGTTACTATTTACATAAAATAGTAAGAAGTTACTATTGGTGGTAGAAGGAATGACGGCAAAGTTTGAGATTGAGAATTTAAACGGGAGTAAATTATACTATAAAAGTTAAAGATAAAGGTTATTTTAAGAAAAGATAATTGCCTAGCGGCTATCAGTGTAAGGCCAGATAACATCACAGATGATAAAAAGTGAAACGATATGGACAGTAATGCTATTGCTAATCTTCATCTGGCATTAGCAGATGGGGTGCTGTTAAGTATATCTTGCTTTTGCTTTCTATTGTTTTATGCATGAGGATTGTAAAGTGTATATTCATTTGGTATCATGCATATTTTATATCTCTTTGTATAGATTGTTTGTCATCATCAAAAAGGGGGAGATTGTTAGGTCTCATATTTATGAGTCTACTATCTAATTTAGTTTTAAAGATTAAGAAACAATTCCTAACAATGTTTGTCGAGAGTTTATATTTAATTGTTAGGTATTCTACACAAGAATCCTCAGTTGGAGGTTGGATGAAATTGAGCGTAAACGATCATATCTATTGGACGATTGGCGGAATTCGGAATGAAGTTATTTACAATTCAAAGTCAAATTCAAGATCAAGCTTCATCCGCAACCAAGACGAGCTATATTGAAGATTTTCATCTTGGGTATATTAGTTTAGGAAATATACTATGTGTATTTATACTTAGAGCTCAAATTTCATACACACATTTGTTTTGATTTATCATTTATTTTAATTTATCACCATTTTGGATTATAGACTTAAAGACACGATCTTATATCTTTTCTCAAGTCTATAAACCTATTGGAAAGTGTTTTAAAACTTGTTTGGAATAAATTCATCAAAATCAAGTTTTAACAAGTTCGTATGTTTTACCAATTTGTAAAATATTATGTTATGGATAAATGACTAAATATAACTATTGTATATCTTTTATAAAGTCCATTAATCTAGTTAAAAGTAGTTTCAAACTTGTTTGAAATCATTTTGTCAAAATCATGTGTTTTTGAGATTTCATATTATGACCGATTTTGCAAAATGATAAGTTTTCACAAATGGAAATGATATTTGAGAAATTTCTTTTGTAACATGTTTATTTTCTTGTTTATGATCATTCCCCAAAATTTTACTATTTTTAGAGTCATTTGTTATTTTAATTTGATTTTACAAAGTTAAATTTTCAACTTAAAACCTGTTTCTGGGAATGTGTTAGTTTTCGATCGACTGAGTTTCACCCGTCAGTCGACTGACCAGAAGAGTGTTTTTAGTGTTTAGTTCTCAGGGTATTTCAGTCGACCGACATACTTGCATCTGTAAGGATCTGACCCTTATGATAATCGTAGAGTTGTGCACTCTTATACAAAGAGTAAGATATGTGGAAGCTTATAACAAAAACACTAGAGGGCGTTGATTAGAGTTATATAAAATATTTGTAATATGTGTTATAAATTGCAAGAAAGAATGTTAACAATCTCAGAAAATGAACATTACAAACACAAGCATATATATTGGTTCCACCTCCCCGGTGTACATCTAGTCCCCAAGCAAATCTCGCTTGAGATTTCCACTATGATTTTAAAACCTTACAAAATCAAAAGTAAATCTGACCAATTTGCAAGACTATGCAAATTACAACTCCAATTGACAAGACCATGTCAATTGTCAACAACAATCTCTATACCATGAGATCCTATCTCTTAAACCCGAGAGATTCTTCC